CTCCCCTGACCACACTGTCTACAATAGTACCTGCTCCTTCTTTGGTTCCTTTTTCCTACTTTGTTTTATTTTTCTCCGTAGCACTCACCACTCCGTGACATAAAATACTTATTTGATTACCTGTTTATTTTCTGCCTGACTCATTCCAATGCACCAGCAGGGAGTTAGTTTTGTAAACTGCTGTATTCTCAGAGCATAGAATAATGCCTGGCTCACAGCGGTATTCAACAAATATTTGAAGAATGAAAGCATGAAATAATTACACAAACATAAATATGTATTATAGCTGTGCTTGGTGCTATAAAAGAGAAGTATTGGCCTTTTCTTCTGGCTAATTGCCTTGGCCTGGTCAGAGAATTCAGGGAAGGCTTCATTGAAGACTTGAGATTTACAATGAGTTGATCTTAGCTGGGCAGAGAGGGAGAGGAAGAATCCTCTGGGCCGAGGAACAGCCTGTGAGAAGGTCTTGATTTGGGGAGGATGGCACTTTGGAGGGACAGACAGATGGCCCGAGCAGGAAACTTGGGGAATGAGGGGCAAAGAGGTGGGTGATAAAGGCACTGAGAAAGCTTTTGGCTTTATCTTGAGGGTAATGGGTAGAGGAGGAGGGTGACGTGAGTTTATTAAGATGGTGTTTTTCAAAACAGCATCTGTTAGAAAACAGCAACCTGGTTTATTTGCTTATTGAATAAACTCATATACAGAGCTGACTTTGTGTCAAGCCCTGTTCAAAGTAATTCACTATTAACAACTCATTTTACCCTCATACAAAACAATGATGCTGGTACCATCATTAATCTCATTTTACAGATGAGAAAATTAGAGCGCAGAGAGATTAAGAAACTTGTCCAAGGCCCGGCACAATGGCTCATGCCTGTAATCTCAGCACTTTGGGAGGCCAAAGTGGGTGGATCACTTGAGGTCAGGAGTTTGAGACCAGCCTGGCCAACATGGTGGAACCTCGTCTCTACTAAAAATACAAAAATTAGCCAGTGTGGTGGTAATCCCAGCTACTCAGGAGGCTGAGGCAGGAGAATCAGCCTGTAGCTGAGTAATCCGAGCTACTCAGGAGGCTGAGGCAGGAGAATTGCTTGAACCTGGGAAGCAAAGGTTGCAGTGAGCTGAGATTGTACCACTGCACTCCAGCCTAGGCAAGAGAGCAAGACTCTGTCTCAAAAAAAAAAAAAGAAAAGAAATTTGTCCAACATCTCACAGCTAGTAAGTGGTGGGTGGTGGAGAGTGATTCAGACCAGGTGACTGGCTCCACAGTCCATGCTTTTCCATTTCTGTTTGATATTGACTTCTGTGAGGTATAAATTTACATGCAATACAATGACAGTTCAGTGAGAGCTGATGCATCTGTGTGACAATCACCACAATCAAGACACAGAAAATGGGGACTGAGTGCAATGGGATCCACCTGTAATCCCAGCACTTTGGGAAGCTGAAGTGGGAGGATCGCTTGAAACCAGGAGTTTGAGACCAGTCTGGGCAACACAGTGAGATCCCATCTCTAGAAAAAAAATTTTCCATCACCCCAAGAAGTTCCCTTGTGCCCTGTTGCAATACACTTTTCCTGTTGCACTCTAATAATGACCCAGACCATTCCTGATTTGTTTTCTGACACTGAAGATTATTCTACATAACCTAGAGTTTCACAGAAATGGATTCATGTGGTCTTTTGTGACTGGCTTCTTTTGCTCAGCATCAGAATAATGTTTCCGAGTTTCATCGGTGTTGCCTATATCAGTGGTGTATTTCTTTTCCTATGCATATAATATGTGTTTTTTCCCTTTGGGTGCTTAAAAATTTATTATTTATTTTAAAGATTGACATATAGGCCAGGTGCAGTGCCTCACACCTGTAATCCCAGCACTTTGGAAGGCCAGAGCAGGTGGATCACCTGAGGTCAGGAGTTTGAGACCAGCCTGGCCAACATGGCAAAACCTCATCTCTACTAAAAATACAAAAATTAGGTGAGTGTAGTGGTGCATACCTGTAATCTGAGCTACTCGGGAGGCTGAGGTAGGAGAATTGCTTGTTCCTGGGAGGCGGAGGTTGCAGTAAGCCAAGATCGAGCCACTGCACTCCAACCTGGGTGACAGAGAGAGACTCAGTTCCCCATGGCTCACTGCAGCCTTGAACTCATGGGCTCAAGCGATCCTCTGGCCTCAGCCTCCCAAGAAGCTGAGACTACCTGCATGCAATACCACACCCAGCTAATTTTTTAGTTTTTGTAGACATGGGTACTTGCTATGTTTCCCAGGCTGGCCTCAAACTCCTGGCCTCAAGCAATCCTCTCACCTCAGCCTCCCAAAGTGCTAGAATTACAGGTGTGAGCCACCATGTCCAGCCACACAATTTCTTTGAATTTATAGTATTCCATACCACTGTAGGATGACAATAATTAACAATAACATGCCGGGCGCGGTGGTTCAAGCCTGTAATCCCAGCACTTTGGGAGGCCGAGGCGGGGGGATCACGAGGTCAAGAAATCGAGACCATCCTGGTCAACATGGTGAAACCCCGTCTCTACCAAAAATACAAAAAAATTAGCTGGGCATGGTGGTGCGTGCCTGTAATCCCAGCTACTCAGGAGGCTGAGGCAGGAGAATTGCCTGAACCCAGGAGGCGGAGGTTGCGGTGAGCCGAGATTGCGCCATTGCACTCCAGCCTGGGTAACATGAGTGAAACTCCGTCTCAAAAAAAAAAAAAAAAATAACATATAGTTTCAAATAACTATAAGGAGGATATTGAACAGGAAGAAATGAGAAATGTTTGAGATGGTGGACATGTTAATTACTCTGATCTGATCACCATACATTATATACATCAAAACATCATTATGTACCCCATAAATATGTACAATTATTATATGTCAATTTTTTTTTTTAGATGGAATCTCACTCTGACACTCAGGCTGGAGTGCCGTGGTGCAATCTCGCTCACTGCAACCTCCGACTCCCAGGTGCAAGCAATTCTCCTGCCTCAGCCTCCCAAGTAGCTCAGATTACAGATATGCATCACTACGTTCACCTAATTTTTGTATTTTTAGGAGAGATGAGGTTTTGCCATGTTGGCCAGGTGGCACTGAAGTCATTAAGAAGCAGAGACCCAGATAGGACAGCAAAGTAGGACCATCTCGCGGGCCAACAGTCTTCTGAGCTGAGAGCCTCAAGGAGCTGACAGCATTCTCGGATGAGGGCCTCGAGCAGACTCTGATCCACGTAGTTGTTCTCTCTGAACAAGTCATTATTATTAACAGCAGATGTCCTGTGTTTTCTCACAGAACCAAGATAAACTAGGTGGGCAGCTGGTGCCTGCTTACCACTGATCAGGACAAACCAGAAAGTATTCTCCACAAGGGAGCCACAGGGGCAGGGTCACGTATTTCGTGCTTAAAGAACTGTTTTAACTGATGTGTGATATACATATACTGTCTTGCCACTTTAGAATGCCCCAAGGAGTTTTCCACTTGCGGGGGTGGGGGGGTCGGGGGAGGTGTGGCTAGGTTTTCCTTGCCATCGTTCTTCTTAGCAAACAATATATTTTATCATACACTCAGCATTTCTCAGCAATCATACACTCAGCATTTCTCAACAATGGAGAAAATTATTCTTTGATGATTGTCCCTGATGCCCAATGTATTTGGAAAATTTTCCATTACAACTTGTAGGAGTTATTCTCATTCCGGTGTGAGGTCCAAGTGTTGTTCTGCCTACTGGTGGTTCATTCTCCAGCCTGAGGTGATTTCTTACAAGCATAGGTAGATCAATATTCAGCCAAAGACTCAAAAGACCCTCTTCAGATCTCCAGAACTTTCTCTCTGTGCAACTTCCTCCTCTCCAAGTATTCTTCCTATGGATTCTAGCTGCCTTGATCTCCCTGAAGTTCCACTCTGTCTTTTCTGCTCATTGAGACCTCTAAGCTCTGTTTGGATTCTCCCTCCTTGGGCTATGGGCTGGAGACTCCAGACAGTGTGAGCAGGAGAAATTATAGAGCACAGCTTGTTTGCTTTCCTTGTTAGGGATCTCAGTCTTGTGCTACCTGCTGCCCAATGTCTGAAAAACCTTTGTGTCCACATATTTTGGCCAGCTTTCTAATTGTTTAAGGGAGGAAGGTTTCCCATTGCCAATTACTCAATTATAGCAGGAAGAAAATTATAACTAATTTCTTTCTATTATTATTACTGAATGGTATCCCATTGAATGGAGATACCAGGTTTAACTTTTTACCTGTTTTTGGATATGTGATTGTTTCCAATATCTGGCTACTATGAATGAAGCTATGCAAATATTTGTGTAGACATGTTTTTATTTCTCTTGGTTAAATACCTAGGAGTGACATTTCTTGATCATAGGGTATTGTATATTTAACTCTGTAAGACTCTGTCAAACAGTTTTCCCAAGCAGCTGTATTAACAATGCGTGAGAGTTCCCATTGTTCCATATCATCACCAGCATTTGATATAGTCAGTCTTTTAAATTTTTAGCCATTCCAGTGACTTTGTAGTGGTCTTGTTGTGGGTTTAAGTTGTAAGTTCTTGTTAGCTAATGTTTTGATAATTGTTTGTGTGCTTATTGGCCATTTATACATCTGTTTTTATGAAGTTTAATTTCATATCTTTTTCACATTTTTTGCTTGGCTTGTATATATCTTCTTATTGAATTATAAGAGTTATTTTTATATTCTGGATATAAATTTCTGCCAGATATAATAGAGTCTACACTTTTTTTTTTTTTTTAGACAGAGTCTTGCTCTGTCACCTAGGCTGGAGTGCAGTGGCGAAATCTTGGCCCACTGTAGCCTCTACCTCATGGTTCAGGCAATTCTTCCACCTCAGCCTCCTCAGTAGCTGGGACTACAGACATGAACCACCACACCCTGTTAATTGTGTATTTTTAGTAGAGATGGGGTTTCACTATGCTGGCCGGACTGGTCTCGAACTCCTGACCTGAAGTGATCCACCTGCCTTGGCCTCCCAAAGTACTGGGATTACAGATGTAACCCACCATGCTTGGCCCAAAGTATAGTTTTGACCATGCCTTTTTGTTGGATTGAGAGGAGTCAGGGGTAGTGGTAAGATGCACAGGCCATTGTAATCACCAAGGAGAGAGATGATAACGTCTTAGACTAGAATTGGGGCTTAAATAAAGCAAAGTAGGTAAGTTTTAAAATTATCTTTTAAAAAGACTTCAAGGGATTCTAGGTCTACTTGGTTTTTCCTTTTGTCTTCTGAATGTCCATATATATATTTATATATATATTTTAAAAACCTGAATCACTTCTATGCTTAAATTAACTGCAGGAGAATGTCTCAGGAACCTACGACATACTCCCTTTTCCTATTCCTTTTTCTGAGCCATGGAGTGTTGAGTTACACAGTTCCAAATTCCAGGCAGGGTAAGTCCTGAGGGAAGAATCACCCTTTGTGGTTTCCACACCGTTTAAAGAATGTGGTAGAATAGATCAATTAGGTACATGATGCCGTAAGTTGTTTTGGGGGTGTGTGTGTGTGTGTGTGTGTGTGTGTGTGTGTGTGTGTATGTATGATTTTCAGGATTATTCTAAGAGCATTTTTCAAGCCATGGTTTTCTCCTGGTGGACAGTTATAATTAAAATTCACTAAAAATTTCCTTCATGGAGGCTTTCTCGGGCTTTTCCACTAACCCATAGTTGTAGTTTTGAAGGTCATACAGTTCAATTCTAGTTATACATTCAATGGCTTTCTTACAGATTTACATCCGTTGTTGCAAAAAATGGCGGTGAGTGTTCTATTTTCTTTTAATCAGAATCCCCTCCACTGGAATTGCCAACTTTTGGATGTTATACTTGATGTTATCTTTTTGCCTTTTAGGAAGAAATAATAGATGGAAGCTATCTGAATGGTAATGTGCCCCCTTGGTCTCCACTTGCTTCTTCTACGAATTTCAAACAGAATGCGGCTGTGATCTCTCTGGAATGATTCCTTTTAAAGATCTCTTTTCATTTTATTCCCATTGTAGCACTGCTGGATCTCATACAGTTTCAAAGGTAACCTGCCCTAGAGGAGAGGGGAAAGGATGGGATAGATTTTTAATAAAAATTATTAATGAAAGCCTCTTAATTGTAAAAAGTAATATGTGCTCATTACAAAAAATGTCAATCAATGCACAGTGTTTTGAAAGTCAACACCCTTGCTCCACAGACATTCATTCCTTTTCACTCTAGCATAAGGGCTGAATTTTTTTTTTTTTTTTTTGGAGGTGGAGTTTCACTCTTGTTTCCCAGGCTGGAGTGCGGTGAAGCTACAACCTTGGCGCACTGCAACCTCCGCCTCCAGGATTCAGGCAATTTTCCTGCCTCAGCCTCCTGAGTAGCTGTGATTACAGGCATCTGCCATCACTAATTAGCCCATTGGCTAATTTTTGTATTTTTGGTAGAGATGGGGTTTCACCATGTTGGTCAGGCTGGTCTCGAACTTCTGACCTCAGGTGATCCGCCTGCCTCGGCCTCCCATAGTGCTGGGATTACAGACGTGAGCCACCACACCGGGCCTAAGAGTCAGTGGCCTGGCTCCAGGGCCCATTCCCTCCACTGTTGTGCTATTAACTGCATACAGGTCTGTGTGTCAGTTACCAGGGACATGGGACAAGGAGCTAGGTAGTGTGGAAACGCCAATATTAATAAATAATTCTAATATAATGAGTACTATGATGGATAAGAAATAGGGGTCTTGGGGCCCTGTGTCAGGGATACTCAGTTATGTTAAAGTGAAAGATCCCCATAACCACTCGTTTCCCTAAGATAATGCCAATGGGTACTTTTGGAAATATGCTTTCAGTCTAAGTATTTTATTTATTAACTTATCCATTCATCCATCACTTTATTTATAATAGAAGTAAGATTACAAAAGGCTATTCATCAGTGGCTCGTACCTGTAATCCCAGCACTTTGGGAGGCCAAAGTGAGAGGATCACTTGAGGCCAGGAGTTCCAGACCAGCCTGGCCGACATGGCAAAACCCCATCTGTACTGAAATACAAAAATTAGCTGGGTTTGGTGGTGCATTCCTGTAATCCCAGTTACTTGGGAGGCTGAGGCAGGAGAATCACTTGAATCCAGGAGGTGGAGGTTGCAGTGAGCTGAGATCACACCACTGCACTTGAGCCTGGGTGACAGCGCGAGACTCTTGTCTCAAAAAAATAAATAAATAAAAAGAAAAATGAAAAAGGCTGTTCATGAACATTTACTGTGTGTTGGGCACTGTTTTAAGCAATTTTCATGTGTGAACAAATTTTAATCTCACAGTTGTTAGCCATATTTCATAGGAAAACTGAGGCACAAGAAAATTTAGCAAACTGTCTCAGGCCACACAGCTAAGTGACAGAACTAGGATTCAAATCCAGGTTTGGAGCCCACACTCCTAACTATGCTGTTCCAGCCTCTCATGGTATACCTCACATCTGCTTTTAAAATGTACATCTTTCTAACTCCATCAGTTTGGATTGTAGTCAATCTAAGTAGATTGTTATAGGAATAAGAATATTGTACACAGCTTAGAAATTTGGGAATTGGCTTTGAGAGAATGGGAGCCAGGCAGGTTCCTTAAATTGGAAACTCCCCTATCACTGTGCCTGGTTAAGAAATCTTTCACTTCAGGCTGGGCGCGGTGGCTCACTCCTGTAATCCCAGCACTTTGGGAGGCAGAGTTGGGAGGACTGCTTAAGCCCAGGAGTTTGAGCCTGGGCCACATAGTGAGACCCCATCTCTACAACAAATAAACAAAATTAGTTGGGTGTGGTGCCATGCACCTGTGGTCCTAGCTGCTTGGGTGGCTGAGGTAGGAAGATCACTTGGACTGGGGAGATCGAGGCTGCTGTGATTGCGCAGAGCAAGACCCTGTAAAAAAAGAGAGAGAGAGAGAGAGAGAGAGAGAAACCTCCTACTTCCAAGCACAAAATTTCTAACATCCCTGGTCCATTCCCACGTGACCCTTGGGTACTTAGCTAGTGCAGTACTGCTTGTAGGAGAATCTGTCATTGTGACCTTTTCCCATCTGTCTTCAACTGAAGCTCCCACATGTGGACGGATGATCTGTCCCACAGAGTCCTGGCCTATCTGAATTCCCGGAATGTTGCCTTCACCATCCCCAGCCTACAGGTGTGTACCTGAGACCCATCTGTATGTTCCCTTGTCAGTGCTCAGGGATTGCAAACGCAAGGGCCAGGTAAGTTGGAGAAGTAGGCTGGATGTAGAGAAGTCTTTACTTCTGCAAGGAAAAGGGTTCCAGTTTTTCTTGAAACATGACGTAAGCTATTTTGTCTTTCTTTCATTTTCCCACCCTTGATGGAAACATGGTATATTAGGGTATAGGCTGAGCTGCTGTAACAAAAAGACCCCCAGATAACAGCAGCTCAAATAATTTAGTTTATTTCTTTCTCATGTAATAGTCAGAGCTAAGTGGGAGAGCCACAGAGAAAAGGCAGCTCTATTCCATGAGGTTTCCAAGGACCCAGGTTCCTTTTACCTTTTTGCTCTATCATCTCCTAGGGGGTTACTGCCCATGCGGTGGAAACACCACATCCCTTCTCAAATCCAGGGGAGGGGTGGGAAGAAGACGAGGATGAGCATCTTCTTTTCTGAGATTATGACTTGCAAGTTACACAATTCCTTCTGTGCACATTAGTTTGGCCCACACTCCATAGTCACATCTTACTGCAGAGGAGCCATGTACCCCACTAAAAGTTGAAGGGTTCCATTGATGAAGAGCAGTGAGAGAGTGGATATTTGGATATAGTGATTAGTCTTTCTACCATGGGTGGAAGAAATGTATTTTTTCCTCTTTTAAATCTGCTGTAATGAAAACAACAGCACAAGCTTGTTGATAGGTGGCAAAGGATATTTGCCTTAAGGGGCAATAGGGCATGGTGGTGACTGTGCTGAACTACACAGCACATTCCTGACTGTTAGCCTAGTGTGGCATTTCATGTCTTTACCATCACACTGGATAGCACAGAAAATTGGATAACAGTTTCTTTAGTATTGAGAAATAATTATTCAGTTTAGCAAAAGGTCATTTATGTCATTAATTAATGAATAAAGTTCTTCATTTTTTTTTTTTTTTGAGACAGAGTCTTGTTTTGTTGCCAGGCACCAGGCTGGAGTACAGTGGTACCATCTCAGCTCACTGCAACCTCCGCCTCCCGGGATCAAGCAAGTCTCCTGCCTCAGCCTCCCGAGTAGCTGGGACTAGAGATGTGTGCCACCATGCCCAGATAATTTTTATATTTTAGTAGAGACAGGGTTTCAATATGTTGGCCAGGTTGGTCTCGATCCCTTGACCTCATGATCTGCCCGCCTCGGCCTTCCAAAGTGCTGGGATTACAGGCGTGAGCCACCGTGCCTGGCCGTTGTTTTTATTTTTACTTACGTTTTAATGAAAATGGAAATGTCAACCAACATTCATGTCACAAGTATATTCAGAGAGCTTGTTGTCTGCCAGGTCCCAGGATACTCACTAGCTGGAGACGGCTGTTGGCCCCACATGGCATCTGCTTTTCTTCTCCTTTTCATCAGTCAGAGCAACTGAAAGAGACGCAATGCCTGCCCCTTTCTCTCTAGCCATAATGGATATTCATGAGATGTATCAACTTTAACCTGATTAGTAGATACTTCTCTTTCTGTGTATATAACCATGTTCATTTATTCATTCAATATCTACTGAGTTAACATCTGCTTTCTGCCAGGCATAGCTCCAGACACTGGGGACTCAGTAGCGAACAAGATAGTCATGGACCTTTCATTTTAGGGATGAGACTTTAAGTAAGCCATTATTCACCTTGGTAAAGATAGGGAATAATAGCTGGCACTATTGAGCACTTACTGTGTGCCAGCCACTACTGAAAACACTTTACCCACTCAATCCTCATAGTAACCCTACATGGTAAGTCCTCCTATTGCTTCCATTTTGCAGATAGGAAAACTGAGGCCCAGAAGAAGTGTCACTGATTTAGCAAATAAAAATACGATGTAGCTCTGCATGGTGGCTCATGTCTATAATCCCAGCACTTTGAGAGGCGTAGGTGGGAGGATTGCTTGAGACCAGGAGTTGGAGACAGGCCCTGGCAACATGGCAAGACCCTGCCTTTACAAAAACAAAAACAAACAAACAAACAAAAAATTAGCTGAGTATGGTGGCATGGCCTGTAGTCCCAGCTACTTGGGAGGCTGAGGTAGGAGGATTGTCTGAGCCCAGGAGTTTGAGGTAACAGTGAGCTATGATCATATCACCGCACTTCAGTCTGGGCAACAGAGCAAGACCCTATCTTGAAATCAAAAACAAAAAACAGATGCCCAGTGTCACTTGAATTTCAGATAAACAATGAGGGATTTTTTAAGTTAAGCATGTCCCATGCAACATTTGGGACATACTTATACTAAACAAAAAAAAGTGTCATTTTTCCAGGATGCTCAGTTAAATTCAAATTCAAATTTAACTGCACATCCTGTATTTTACCTAGCAACCCTAGTTAAGTGACTTGCCCAAGCCACACAGCTTGTAAGTGTCAAGGCGGGGATTTGCACATGAGTTGCCTGGGTTTAGAGTTCACCTCTTGCCCATAACATTACACTGGGTATGTCTGTTTAAGGGAGGTTTAGAGAACAATTCCCCAGACAGCAGAGGAAGTCTCTTTCAGGAGAGGCTGATGGCTTCTGCTCCTTGCCCTGTAGGGGATGCCACAGAGTTTGTTCAATTTCACCTATATTTTGCTCCTGTGCTTGTAGCTTGGGTTTGGGTACAGTGCCATCTGGGGAGTACTGAACTTCCTGGGCAAAGTCCAACTGCTATGGATGGGAAGCTCAATCACCTTCAGGGACCACGCAGGCCACGGAAAGGGGGAATCAGGCAGGCTGGGCCTGAGAGTTACTTCAGCAAACAGCTGTCCCTTGGCTTGCCAATTAACAAAAAGGGGATGTGTGCCTGGTGTTGCCAAACCTTTGCATTTTTCAAGAGAAGTTGGAAATCTTGATCTTGTGAGGAATTGCCTCACTTTTAAATGTTGGCAGCTAATGAGGAAATTTGGAGCTGGCCAAACCAGACTGCTGGCCACCAGTTGTGGTCTCTGCAAGGAATGAGGTGGCCGGCTGGGGCCGCTGGCCATGGTGCTGACCATGTGCTCCTCTTTCTGTTCTCACTGACTCTCCCAACACCCCAAATCCAGGCAGCCGTGGAAAACCAGCTGGAGCAGCGTCTGCACCAGCCCCAGAAGCTGCTGGAGGACCTGAGGAAGACAGATGCCCAGCAGTTCCGCACTGCCATGAAATGCCTCTTAGAAGACAAGAAAGACCGCTTGGTGAGGCATCCTTGGCATTCCGGGGGTAGAGGAAGTCCAGCACCACGTGGTGTTTGTTGAATTGAATCAAATTGAGCCTAACTTAGGCCTTGGTCCTTCTTTGTCTCTTCCTCCCTCGTTCTGCCTCCTCCAACATCCTGGGAGCTTTAGGATCTAGGTTTTCTCACTTACTTTCTCCAAAGTTAAAATGAAGGGCTTTATAATTTTTTTTTTTTTTTTGAGACAGGGTCTCACTCTGTTGCCCAGGCTGGAGTGCAGTGGCACAATCTCAGCTCTCTGCAATCTTTGCCTCCTGGGTTTAAGTGATTCTTGTGCCTCAGCCTCCCATGTAGCTTGGATTACAAGTGTGCACCACCAGGCCTGGCTAATTTTTGTATTTTTAGTGGAGACAGAGTTTCACCATGTTGGCCAGGCTGGTCTTGAACACCTGATTTCACATGATCCACCCGCCTTAGCCTCCCAAAGTGCTGGGATTACAGGCGTGAGCTACCACACCTGGCCTAATTCATATTTTTGTGAGTACTAAGAAGTGAGGGACCCTAATTGAGGATCTGAGGATCTCCTGATTGTTTAGCTCAATAAACATCCACTAAAAATAATTGCTATGCACCAGTGGACACAGAGATGACTATCCCTGCCCTCAAGGAGCTCACAGTCTGGAGGGGAGACAAAAAACACAAACAGATAATTTCCACAAAATGAGGCTAATGATCCAAGAATATCACAAAGTAAGGACTCTGAGACCTTAAAAACAGATTTAAAAGCCTGGGAAATGGCTGGGCATGGTGGCTCATGCCTGTAATCCCAGCACTTTGGGAGGCCAAGGCAGGCGGATTATGAGGTCAAGAGATTGAGACCACCCTGGCCAACGTAGTGAAACACTGTCTCTACTAAAACTACAAAAATTAGCTGGGTGTGATGGCGCCTGCTTGTAGTTCCAGTTACTCGGGAGGCTGAGGCAGGAGAATCGCTTGAATCTGGGAGGCAGAGGTTGCAGTGAGCCGGGATTGTGCCACTGCACTCCAGCCTGGGGACAGAGCAAGACTCTATCTCAAAAAACAAACAAACAAACAAACAAAACAAAACAAAACAAAAAAAACACTGGGACTTGAAAAAGTGTGTCATTTGTTCAGGACACACAGATAGTAGAGGCCCTGGGATTTGCACCTGGGAATGCCTGACCCTAGGACCCATGGAGTTTAACCTGTAGGACTGCCATGAGAATTAATGAGATGCTACATGTGTGCTCCAAGCTTTGCACAGTAGAGTCAATGCTCAGTAAAATGGAGGCTTTTTTTTTTGTCTTAGAGACGGGGACTTGCTCTGTCATCCAGGCTGGAGTGCGGTGGTGTAATTATAGCTCACTGTAGCCTTGATCTCCTGAGCTCAAGTGGTGCTCACACCTCAGCCTCTCAAGCAGCTAGGACTACACATGTGTACCAGCACACCCAACTAATTAAAAATAATTACTTTTTAGGGATGAGGCCTCCCTATGTTGCCCAGGCTGGTCTCAAACTGCTGGGCTCAAGTGATCCACCTGCTTTGGCCTCCTGATGTGCTGAGATTATAGATGTGAACCACTGTGCCAGGCCGATCAGTCCTTTTTAAAAGCTCCCCAGGTGGGCTAAGCATGGTGGCTTTTACCTGTAACCCTAGCACTTTGGGAGGTTGTGGGCAGATTGCTTGAGCCCAGGAGTTTGAGACCAGCCTGAGCAACATGGCAAAACTCCATCTCTACAAAAAATAGCTGAGTGTGGTGGCATGTGCCTGTAGTTCCAGCTACTCAGGAGACTGAGGTGGGAGGATCACTCAAGCCCAGGAAGTTGAAGCTGCAGGGAGCGAAAATCATGCCACTGCATTGCAGCCTGGGTGACAGGGCGAGACTCTGTCTCAAAAATAAAATAAAAATTTAAAAAAGCTTCCCAGGTGATTCCAATGTGCAGCCAGAGGTGAGAACCACCAGCTTGGAGGAAAGACACCTGAGTCCCTTTAATGCATTAGAGAGTTTGGCTCAAGATTCCCTGGGAGCACATAAGGGAGGAAAATCTGATTTGAAGTAGGAAGTTGGAGGGATCAGAGAAGACTTCGCCAAGAAGGCGGCAATGGATCCCAGCCTTAAAGGATGAGCTAGATTTCACCAGGAAAAGGAGAGATGCAGAATTCCAGGTAGATAAGGGCCTGAGGTGTGATTGGCAGGTGTATCTGGAGAGTGGGAAGGCTCCTGAGTGGAGCAGGTAAAGGCCTTGACTTTGTTCTGCAGGGGATGGAAAGTTCTAGAAGTTTCAACATAGCAGCATGGTGTTAAACAGCGATCCTGACTTTCCCCACTGTTGCAATGTGTGGTCCCTCCCAGGGCTTCCAAATCAAGAGCCAGCTCTCTCAAGGTGACCCTGGCTTCTCTCATTGCTTTAGGACCTGAAAGACATCATTGTCAACCTAGGAGAGATTCGAAACCGAGCCTTGCAGAGTCCTGGCATGAACCGCAGCCTGTTTCTCATCACACTGGAGAGGTGTTTCCAGGTGCTGAACTCCCTGGAGTGTGTGGAGATCCTGGGCAAGGTGCTGAGGGGGTCTTCAGGCAGCTTTCTCCAGCCGGACATCACAGAGCGGCTCCCTCAGGACCTGTGCAAGGATGCCTTTACGAACCTGTGAGTGGTTCCTCCCACTTTCTTCTTCTCCTTCTTCTCTTTCTTTTCTTTCTTCTTTCCCCTTCTCTCTCCCCCTCCCCCCCTCCCTCTCCTCCTCCCC